CGGCCACCTTCCAGCGCGCGCAGATATCGGGGCTGGGGGCGCGGCTCGGCCTGGCCCGGACGCCCGGTGACGTCAGCAGTGACGCTGCGGCCTTCTTGGGGAGCGTCCCCGCACCTGGGCCACCCGGGCCGGTCGGCTGGCTGCGGCAGCGAGGGGGTCGCAGTGGGCGCTTGGGCGGCCCTGCTCGCTGGGGTTTCCTGGAGGCCAGGCAGGTCTGGCGGAGCCCCCACGGGTTGCCTGGGTCGGGGAGCCTCTGTCCGCCCGTCTGCTGGGCAGGGCCGAGGGGTAGAATCCAGTCATCCCACCCGGGGCTGGGGAGAGCTGACCTACCTTCGGGCACCTCCCGGAGGGGTATCAACCGGTGACCTCTGGTCAGAGACTGGCACCCCCGCGACCCCCCAGTTGCCTGCAGTGGCCCCTCCCAGGCTCGGCTCCAGCTGGGACAGCCCTGAGTCCACAAAGCCAGTCCTGCCCTGCCCAGTGCTATGGGAAAGGGGGGAGATAGGGTTCCTGGAGGGCCTCTTGGAGGGGGTGGCCTTTGAGTCAACTTTTGGGAGGAATGGCACCAGGGAATTCTCGGGGTGTGAAGAGGTGGCGGGGCCCAGAACCTGGGAAGGAAGGGTGAGAGAATCAGTTGCCAAACAGGTCCCTCTCCTGCCTCCCCCCCACCCGCAGAAGCCCCCCACCTCCCTCCCTCATGTACCTGCTGCCCCAGCTCCAGATACCCCAGAGTCCATGCACCTCACAGCCAGAGGTCCTGGCATCGCTCCATCCCTAAAAGCCACCTGCTCTTGGCACACCAGGCAGGCAGGAGCCCAGAGAGTGACCCAGGGACAAAGAATGAAGTGGCCCCTCCTTAGCCGCCCCCAGGGTTCCCAGCACCCCCAGTCCCGGCCAGCCTAACTGCCCGCCCGGAGGGGCCTGGAGTCTGGGGCCCTCTGCTGCCCGCAGAGAAGGGGTAAGGGTCTGGCCCTCCCGGAGAGCCTGGCACCCTCGCAGCTCTTAGGGCCTTCCTGGAGGGGGCACCCGATGAGCAGGGCCAGACGGCTGTGCCGGGCAGGAGGGAGAAACCCACAGCGGGCGCTGGGCCCTGTGGAGCTCCAGGGCGGCAGGGAGGCCCAGCGCGCACGGCCTTCCTGCCACCCCAGGCTTGCGGTGAGGTCCAGCGAGCCCACAGGACCTGACAGCCGTGCCACCCGCAGATGGTGAGAAGCCGAGCGGAGTGACGGAAGGTCGGGGCGTGCGGGCCCCGCAGGCCACGCAGAGGGCAGAGGACTCCAGCGAGAGTCGTGAGGAGGAGCAGGCGGTGAGCCGGGCCCCGGATGTCCGCACAAACAGTGGCCAGCTGGCGGGGCGCGGGGCTGGGCAGCCCTAGAGGCGAGCCTGAGCTTGCGTCCAGGGTGGGATTCGGCACCCGGTGGTGGGCACATCTCACTAGGGGGCGTGTGCGCTCTGGGGGAGAGGGGGAGACCCCCAGGGTCTCGGCTCCCCATCCCCCTCCTCTCTTAGCCTGAAGGTCAGGACCCAAACTTGCGCTTTCCTGGGAGGGCAGGGAGGCCACCCCCACCAAACCTCACGCAGCAGGCGCCGCCGTGGAGGGACGAGGTGAGCGTTGCGCCAGGGATGGGCCTGGGGGGTGCTGGGCGGAGCAGAAGCTGAGCCCCGTCCCCCCCAGTACAAGGGGCAGGTGAACCTGCACGTGTTCGAGGACTGGTGCGGGGGTGCCGTGGGCCACCTGAGGAGGAACCTGCACTTCCCTCT